CCTGAATCGTGGATTCTAAGGTACAATAAAAATCCAAAGGGAAATATATTTGGTGTTATATAGAGAGACAGACTTTTTCCCAGAGCATTTTCAATGATTACTGCAGGAATGAATGAGTAAAGGTTTCAAGAATGAATAGTGGCAGAAAACCAACTTACTATTATACATAAGTCTCTGCAGCCCCCGGGTACAAGTACTTCTGTATCTCCTTTTGTTGAGTTCTCTATTTTTTTTATGAATATGCATATTGGGGAAAAAAGGCTTCCATCTGCTCTCTTTTAGCTGATTCTATCACATTTTTGAACTGTGCATCATTATGGAGCTTCAGAGAAAGATGATCCTTTACATTACATATGGATATAAAGGAGAGAAGGAGTTGATGAATTGCAAACAAGTATAATTTATATGGACAAAGTGTGCCAGAAGTGCTTTTCACCCCATTTTACTCTGCAAATGGAATGATTCCTGCCCATTCACTTGGCCTAGTGCCCAAGAACTCAGAGAGGAAAACCATGCCTTTAGCCTATGCATCAGGATTTCACCTCTTCCCTGTGAGGAAATGGTGCTTTGCACTCAGGCTCACCGGGGCCCCCAGAGGTCAAAAAAAATCTCTGAACATACTAATGTTACATTTTTTAGGTTCTTTTGTCTTGGCTTCTTAATTTATAATATCATACAGACGCATTGATACTCTATGTGAGAAGTTTGCGTGATGGAGTAGGAAAGGGGGAGTAATGAAAAGCTCATATTTTCCTGGTAGCCTCTCTTTGCTCTTTGATTTCCCATGATAGATCATTTGCCCAAATGCCCATAAACTTTGCAAATATTTAAATCTTACATTTAGGGTATCTTCCTAAGGGCTTCTTTGTTGGCTATAGCACACTCGGCTGTGACTCTGTACTGTAAAGACCAGGGCCTAAGGTGCAGTAATAACCCCAAACCTTTTATTTATTTAATATAGACATTCATTTATATATTTAATCATTTATTCTTCAAAAATGATTATCCCTATCATGTGCCAAGAATGAGGAGTCAGAGCTAAATACAATATAGCCTCTCCCTAAACTGCCAGGAGTAAACAAAGAAATATTCTGTCATGACAAAATGGTCATGAATCTGTAAAGGTCTGTTAAATCAACTGACTCTCTCTCATTGCTGCTGGACAGCACATTTGTCTTAGCCCTCGGGCATTTGCGTCTGAAGAATTTCATATCACTACAAAACCATGCCAGTATTATGGTAGCATGTGCACTGCTTTGATTTTATGTTCAGATATCAGTTTTTATGCACATACTGCATGCATTGTGCTGGTGCTTTGAACACATTATCTCATTTAATCGACAAGATAACGTGGAATATTAGTACTATAATTATATATATTTTGTAGAGGGAAAAAGCTAAGCTCAGAGAATAAGTGACCTACCCAAAGTCACACAGTCCTCAAACCAGGATCTCCGGTCAATGTGTTTAGGTCAACACTGGGTGTGATGAGATGAATTCAGTAGTAAGATAGGCGGTAGCATAAAGTGAGGGTTACATCTGTCTTATTTCCATAGCCAAAAACCTGGTCAAATTTAGAAACTGCTGTTCTTTTGCCTGTATTTAGTCCCTATTCATTTTGCTTTCAACCTTTACATAATTTTAGCATGACTTCCCACTTTTATGAAAGAGTACTTGAAGTCTGCATGCTGATGGGTTATACAATTTTCTTTATCGGTGGTGGGGAGATGGAAGTGGGTGTGTGTGTGGGGTGATGAAGTATTTAAAATTTCATCATATTATTTTTCTCAGAACTTACGCCTGTAACGGAAGTTTCTCAACATGAAATGTCATCAATTTGGTCTCACTCAGGAAGTTGCAAGGCACTTGACTGTAACCTCAGAGAATTGGACAGTGTCTAAAAGCTGAAAATTTTTAGCTCGCTGTCATTTTAGAAGTTTCAAAAGTTATTTTATTTCTTAATGAATTCTTTTTACAATTTAATTGATTAAAAAAAGCTTCTGATAAAATACTTCAGGGTGAAGATACATGCCTGTTTATATCAGCAATAGAATGGTCGGGGGGAGGAAACCAGAATTTAAATCATCTAATTTTTGCTCTTATCAATAAAGTATTATAAAGATTTTATCCATTTACCTGAAATGAAATTTCTCTAACCATGCATACTGTCACAACAAACTTGAATCTGTAAATATAGGCTATCCCTGGGATCAGAATAATCACTGCGTTCCAGAACGGTTTTACAACCTTTCTAAACTGAGAGACTCAGCTGGGTCCAATGGAGAGGCTGTGGCGAGATTGTGATGCAGATTATCTGATCCAAAGGGTTTTTATGGCATAGTCTTGGGCAGCATATATATTCCATGTCTAAATATTGTTGAGTGATTAACTAAATGAGTGAGACTGGTTCTCTCACCAGGTTTCAGCCTAAGCCAGTGTAATCATCTGGTAAACATTAAAATGTCAATCCTTGAACCACCTTCACATCTACTCTTTAAAAGACTCAGACTCGTGTCTCTCTCCCAGCCAACAGTGGAAGGTCTAAGTCTCTCAACTACCTCACAACCTTGGATGACCTATTTATTGCCTTTCCACTCCTCTTTATCCAGCTTTCCATGGTCAAGAGAAAAACCTAAGGAAGGTGAGGCTACAGCTGCAGGGATTGAGTAGGTAAAGTAAAGGCAGCAGTGCTCCCAACATGTACTTCTACTACAGTGTCCTTTTCGGTGCTGTGCTCCATGATGGGGCCATCCTACCAGCAACTGCAACCTCAAGGTGTCTTCACTTTCCTCCTTTCTTCTCTCTTTGCATGAATCCAAGCTCTCTTCCTCTGCTTCAGTCTCCTCAAGGCCTCTGCAGCACTTCTGCTCAAAAGTATTTCCCTTAATTCTTGATTGGTACCTTCATTTTGAAGGGATTGAAGTTGTGGCTGAGTATGTTTCACAGGTGATATCCACCATTTTACAATCAGGAAGTTCCTTATGTGCTTCCCAACCTACAACTTCCTGGCATCTTCATAAAGAAGCTATACTCTCTTGACCTCTCTGAGGCAACAGGTTGATTAAAGTTTAAAAATTACAGTCAGTGGTTGTGCTGTGTCCAAGGAGGCCCTAGAATAATCTCTTTGAGGTAGCAGTCCTACCAGGAGTGGGGCCATGATGGAGCCAGCATGTTGGAAATTTGAAATTGAAACATGATTTCCTGCTGTGGAGAGAGAAGAACAGAAAGAGACATGTGCTTTACTCCTGACCTGGGCAGTACATCTGGGATTAACTCTCATGGATCTGGAAAAATATGATCGAGATTAACACTGTAATATTGTCCCCAAGAATTTAAAATAACACTTTGTGTTTCCTGATTTTTCCTAAGGCGTTATGTTTTATTTATTTAAAAAAACTTTTAGGTCACTTTGGAAGGCATTTACCTATAGATTGAGTAGATTGATTTAAACATAAATATGGAATGTGTTGTATGGGAATAATCATTATATTTAATGCCCTCCAGCAAATAATTCCTAAATGCCCACTCTGTACCTGGTATTACACCAGAGATTAAAAAGACTAAACAAAATAATCTGTCACAAGGAGATTACAGTCTCATGTAAGGGCAAGTGTCATAATAAATAAAGTGTAACGTGATAAGTGTTGTAACCAACAGAGGTACAAGTTGCTATGGAAACACAAAGAGGGGAACACCAGAGGGAATCATGGAAGGCTTCACAGAGTTAAGTGACTTTGGTGGTGAGTCTCAAGACAGAAAACAGAGGGTGGCTTCTGGATATAGAAAATAGCAGGAGCCACTCCAGGAAAGCAAGTAACATAAGAAAAGTTGCCAAGGGAATAGTGAATTCAGGGCATTGCAAGTAGATTATTTTGGCTGGAGAATGTAGAGTGAGAGTGGGAGAGGAAAGGTATGACTCATAGAGTAGGTTAAAAATTGTTGGGAAGGATTTTCTATATCCCTGAGGGTTTAAATATTATACTAAAGACAATGAAAAGCCATCAAAAAATTTTAGGCTGGGAAGTATGTGATTTAATTTTGTATTAGAAGCTCTTTCTGGAGATCATGTGGAGGATGGATTAGAAGGTAGGGCATTGACAGAATAGAAGTCAGTTGGAAAATTATTGCATCATTTCACACATGAGATTATGAGGTTCCAAAGCAAGACAGCAACTATGGGAATAGATAGAAAGCCATGAATATGAAAGCATTTCTAGAGGTAGGATACATAGGGCTTGATTACTTATTGAATCTGTATGAAAAGGATACATGTGAGATGAAGCAAGAAATTATTTTCTGCTTTGGGTAACTGGCAAGAGGTTGGTACTGTTAAAGAGAGAGGTAGATTGGCAATAAAACAAGAGAGACAAATTTGCAGAGAAAATCAAGAATTTAGGTGAGTTGAGTTGAAGCTTCCTAGAGTGCAGTGGACTGAATTGTGCCTCCCCCCATCCCCTTAAATTCAGATGTTGAAGCTCTAAACCCCAGCGTATGGTATTTGGAGATGGGGTCTTTGGGAGATAATTAGGTTTAGATTAGGTCATGAGGGTGGGGACCTCATGATGGGATTAATGCCCTTATAAGAAGAAACACCAGAGAGCTTGCTGTCTCTCTCTGCCATGTTGGAGGCTATCTGCAAGCCAGGAAGAGAGGTCTGACCAGAACCCAACCATGCTGGCGACTTGATTTTGGACTTCTATCTTCTGAAACTGTGAGAAATAAATTTCTATTGTTTAAGCCACTCAGTCTATGGTGTTTTGTTATGGCAGCCTGAGCTAATATATACAAGTATTTAGGAAGTTGGATAACACAGATCTGGGGTTCAGGAGAGAGACTGAGGTGAGGTAATTGATTTGGAAATTGTATATATATATATATATATATATATATATATATATATATGTGAGAACTGACTATAAAACCTCGTCTGATAGGAGATATTTTGTCTAAAGTTCTAAGATGAATATACTTTAAGTAACACTAGTCTGGAAAATACCAAATGCACATAGTTCTTTTTATTATTAAAATTAGGGTATTTCAAAATTAAAAATATTTACACTTAAAGATGAAAAATCTGTACAATTATTAAAATTAGTTTTACTAAATCAGAATTGACAATATATCATTATCTATACTTTCATACAGATAACAGTGAAGAAATCAACAAAAAATAATTACTAAAACTCCACTGTGGATCAGGATAAAATGTCTCCAGTATTAACTCACACTTCGCTTGGACAATTAGTTAAACAGACACACGCTCTGTTACTATTCATTCAACAATATACGCAAATTCAAAACTGGCAGGTATAAAAAAAGGAAGTTTTTTTTTTTTGCAGAATTATTTTGCACTTATAAAATAAAGCCAAATAAGGCTTATGTCGCACATACCAAAAACTTACGCTATCCTTTTTCTGATACAGGTAAGTGAAATATTAACACGTAGCATTTAAAATGATAAATATACATATTATTTACAATAATTGGGAACATTAGAGATATGAGCTTTTATGTACAATCATTCCTATTAAAACATTTTAACTTCAGGTTGTATCTGCAAATACTTCCCTTCCTCTCCTTTTTGATCTTTTATTGATAGCTCAAGAAGAGTTAAAATAGAACACATTTGTAGATGTAGAGTTGATAATATGTATTCAGTCGCTTGGCTCTGTGATAGTAATCTTCTGTACCATGTCGGACAGATTTTCAGACTCCAGATCTTCTTTACCATTATCTGAATTTTCTGATGAGATATAACAACCAGAGTCCCTTGGGCAGTCATCTAACTGTGACTTATTTAAGGAGATGTCTGGGCTTAAGAATAGGGACATGGATTCATTTTCTTGCTCCTGAATAGCTGTAAATGGAAAAGAGGGCAGCAGTTAGGCAAAGCCAAGAAAAGTTTTGTTCATATACTCATTCATCTTTGAGCTATTTTAACTGTTCCAAACTTGACTTCATTACAATTGAAAATTCTGTAAGTAAACAATATGTTTGTTTACTATAAAAGAGTAGTTTGAACTCAAATATTCAAACCACTGTTTTCTTAGAAGACAAGTTTTCCCTTTGTTGCTCACTTGCAGTTTCACGGAGTTCATGTGAATGGCTTACATAAGTGAAGATCAATATGGACTCTCATTTTACATTAATAACAAGTTGCCAAAGAAAGCAGATTGCACCCACAGTGTGACTGATGCCTTGTCCAAATACTCCTTAAAGTAACATTAGAAGAAGTCATTTGTAGTTTAAATGTACAATCCAAGTCAGTAGTGATCTTCTCGAACAGTTCTAGAGTCATGATAATGTGGATTAATGAATAAAAAATCACTATGGGCAACAATGTACAATAGGATTTCAATAACCTGGAATTTAACTAATAAAACTTAAGAGTGTCCAGAATTTTCCTATGTTTGCATTCATCAGAAAAGTAGACATAGAAACCAAGCTGCTTTTATTTTTTTTAATTTTTTGGCTGTGCCACATGGCTTGTGGGATATTAGTTCCCCCACCAAGGATTGAACCCGGGCCATGGCAGTGAAAGTACCGCACCGAATCCTAACCACTGAACCACCAGGGAATTCCCCAGGTTGCTTTTAGATAGAAACACTATGTCCATTGAATCTGCCTTTTATAGTTTGTCTGCTACTTCTTTGTTTATAGTTCTGAATAACAATTATTTATATTCAGAGTGGCAATTCTGTGTCATCAAGGCAGTATTCTGGATTCAACAGGCATTATCTTTTTAGAAAAAAAATTACATTAGCGATGTAACGAAAGATATTTCTAAAGAACCTAAGCAGCCCTATAGTTTTACTCTCCTCAAGAATATTAAGCATCAGTGTTCTCATTTTCAATGTGAAGTTTCCTTCTTTGCATTGCCTGACACCAGTAAACACATGTTTCTCTGTATCATGAGATGGGTTTCAAGGAAAGGAGATGGATCTTAGGCTACCACCTCTCAGCTGTATCAGCATGTTTTGCTATTTCCCCTTCTAACCTTGGGGCTTCTCCACTTTGGAGATTTGAATAGCCCAACATTGGAAGAACATACATTTCAGGGTGGATTAAGACCTCTGCCTTCAGAGGCTATGCACTTCATCCCCTTCCAGTGAGAATAAAGTAAATCCAAACTTCAAAATCTTTGGAAGAAGGAATTTGTGTAATTGTATAATTTTCCTGTAATTTATCTTTTGGAAATCTACCCTTTATCTTGCCTACACACCTCCTGCTTTTAAATGCATTTTCTAGGCTTCGGATATCTTGCCAACATTAGTCTATGGTCCACTGTGTATCCAATTGTTATCAATCTCTATTACAAGAGAGAATTAAGCCCTGGTACCTCAGCACCCTTGTACATAATGAATTAAGTTCTTATCAATGTATCTACAATGGTACTAGTTATGTACCTTTCATGGAGGAATTGAGTCACTTAAATTATTTTCTGTATTATGTGGTTTATATGGGAAACACAAGTTGAGAAAGGTTGGAAAAAATGATAAAAATTTCTTAGTCCATTCATTTTCAAAATGAATCATAACAGTTCTTTTAACCTTTTCCTCAAAGTTTTCATTTGCAACGATGAAACCACATTTATGCCATTCTTCTTAATCTTCTCCACATTTGTCACAACTTTATTTAACTGTGGACTCAAGTAGCACAAATTTAAGTCTAGTGATGTTATAACTAGTTCTAGGTATAAGGACCTTTAACTTAATATACGCCTATTGTGATTGTTATTTTAAAATGCTGGCTATCATGAAGCATTTTCTCTTTATTAGTTATAATGACCTTCAGGTTTGGGGGCATCTACTTAATATTGACTAGTCTTTATGAGTATCAGTCATTCATTTTTGTTTCCAAGCCCTTCTTTTATGAAAAGGCAGCACTGAAATGAGACCTCATTCTTTAAGGAAAAGCTTTCTCCTCTTCCTTTGCTTTTCGGTCTTACTGCCACTGAAATGAAAGAGCCAGCCCTGTGTTCCATTAGCCAAGTGTTTCCGGAAAAGGCCAGAGGAATCAGTCTTTTTGCAATGCTTCTTGCCACATCAGCAGTGATCTCCATATTTGGAATGTGGTCCTGTTAGTCAGAATGGCTGTGGGGATAAGGCTGTATTTCCTCAGTTTATATTTGGGCCCATTGCCTCAACACAAAATTGAAAGGACTGAGTTCCTACCCACAGACCGACATCCTAAACATTTGGACTTGGCATAATGAAAACTGCTCCCAACACCGTGTTCTGTTTAGGTTGATTACTGATGGTGGGGCTCTCTTCAAGGTGTAAAACTTAGGTTTAAAGAACTCTGATTTCCAAAATTAGCTCTTTTCCTTTCAGAAACTAGATACTTAGTTTGTGATTTCATCCTCAGAAGCCGCTATACATTCACCTCAAAGAGTAACAAAGTAAACAATATATTTGTTTTTATTTCCACCTGAGAAATGCTGTATCACATTCTCCAAATTCTAGGAATGGTTTGTTTTCAATACAGTTTATTTATTGTAGAAACCTTTCATCTGCAATTTTTACGGAAAAAGGAAATAATTGCTCAGTATGAAAGTTATGCAGCACAGTAATTTACAGAACAGCAGTAATTTGCTAAATGATTTCCTAATGAAATGAAAACATGACTATGCCTCCTCAAAAGCTTCCTACTAGGCTTGCAGTAATTTCAGGCAGGTGATCGGCTGGAGACCCTCAACTGTAACTATAAAAAGAGAAGGCAGGTCAGTAAATTATATTATGGAAATGAAAGCTATCTAGCATTCAGTTTTTGTATTTGGAGGGTCAAGATTTTCCTCTTCTTGTTTTTTTTTTCATCTTGACGCTAATGACTTAGGGATTGGCACAAACCTAGGTCTTCTGCTATGCGTGTTTTTCCAGCAGAGGAGATGAATTCACACTAATACCTCCACGTGTTCTTTCTAAGTCATTTAGTCCCTTCATGTGGCCATGAAGCCAAGTAAAGCTAACTGACCTACCTAGAAATTGAAACTATAACCTTCATCAATTTTGTCCCATGGTCCAATCATCTGAGCTAACCAGGCAAGTAATACATTGGAATAAGAAACAGTTTGCCTGCAAAATTACAGACTTGCTGTAGGGTATATGAGTGCATCTTTTTATACCAAAATATTTCTGATAATACGTTAAGTTAAAAAATTATTATATATAATTTTTCTATTATTAAAATTATGTAAAAACTTAGAGATATCATATAATTCACAAATGAAAGTGTTAAAATTTTAGATAGAGTTCCTCTATATTTCTGGATCATATACATTTTATATTTTATTTTAATAAAGTACAAAAAAATAATATGGTACCATTTTTTAATAAAGCCCCTGAATGGTTTGCAAATATCCCCAAAGCTGTACATTTAAAAAATCTGGGTATATTGGAGAGTTAGTAAATAATTTGAAAAAGGGTATATCTTATTGCTACCAGCTAACAGCAGGCATAATAGGAGTACAGAAAGCAGTCCCAAACAGTTCTGTACTTTATGTAATAAAAATAAAATAATTAGGTTAACAAAAAATTATTTAGGAGGTATTTTGTCATAAAGAACTAATTTGAATACTAAAATACTTTATTTCTTACCAAAATTTTTATGGAATTGTATAAAGCCCATGGTTCAACATAAGATAGTCATCAATGGAGATAAAAAGTGGCATGGTGATTAGAACATAAGAGAGCTAATATAATTATTCATAAAATAAATATCGAGTTGTGACATTTAATTAATTAAGTATAGGCAATCTCAATTATACTAAACATGAAGAAAGCTTTAAGGAAATCAAACTAGATTCCTATTGCTGGGAAAAAGTTCTCATGCCCTAAGGAGAAAAATTTGTCCTATATTCACGTATTAGAAAGTTAAAGATTTAATAAAAAAATGTAAACTACTAGTTTTTGCTTGACTTTCCCAGTTTTCTTTACCCAAATATTCCAGATTTTGACTTTACTATCTTGTTTTCCTTAGGTATGAAGCCTCTGTTCTTTAGGCCAAGTACAATATTATAAAATAATGCAATCCGGAGGGCACTGGAAAATAGCTGGCCAATGAAAGTGCTCCATAAACAATGTGTTTAATAAAAAGAATGTAATGTTTAGATTAATTAAAGGAAATATGAACTAAAGAAGATCAAGTAAGAAATTTGTTGAAATTCAAATGACGGTACCTCTTGGGTCTTTGTATTATCCTCCTCTTGTTCTCTAGCCTGGTACCATCTCCAAAGAGGAAAAACCAGGCTTAAAGCACATTTTAGGATGGCTCAAAATCTCATCCTCATTGGTAGCTCCACATGAGTCACTCAAACCAAAACTCAAGCACTCTCCAGATAACTGTGGCTATATTTATTTGTCCAGAGGTAGCATTGTCCATGGAGGAACATTCAGTAGGCAACATGGTGTAACTCTTAATTATTTCTTATTCTATCTGTCCTTAAATTACCTGAATATTTTAATGTTCTATTTAGTGATGATTTGGTATTTATTTCATTTGAATACCTACCCACCTTTTGGAAAAACAACAAGAACAAACTGAAAATAGGAATGTCTTCACAGGAAACCAACCAGTTGCTGTCTTCCCGAGGCCATGAGAGAATATGGAGTTGAAATGACTCTCCCTGTTTGCAGATCTCTCTTTGCATCCTAGCATCGTACTCTCCTCTCTAATGAGATGTACATCTTTTCACTTACACTCCCAACAACTTCCACTCCACTCTGCTGGCTCCTTCAGTAGGGTAGAGGCATACTCACTCAAGATCCAATCACTCAGCACCGACAGGGACAGCACCAGTAGGCTGCCACTTCACTCACGCACACAGTTCCATGAGAGGCTTTGGTCCCAGGAAATGTT